AAAAAAATACTTTTACTATTTGACATTAAATTACCATTTGTCCCAAAAAATTTCTCTTTTTCTTTTCTTTTTCTTTTCCTCTCTTTTCTTCTTTCTTTTCTTCCTTTCTTCTCTCTTTCTCTCCAATTGCACAGCTGCTTTCTCTCTTTTTCTCCTTCTCTTTCTCTCCCCCTTCCCTTCTCACCACAATGTTTCACACACAATTAACACAACACAACATCATCCAAATACAAAAAAATTAAAAAAGTAAACAAAAAAAAAAAAAATTGGTGGGAGTGGCAAAAAGCTTATACTCTTATCTATTTTGTCATAATTTTATGTGCAATTTTGTTCATTCTTTTGTATTTATTTCCTTCGGCATCAGTCCCATGATGGGTACAATATTAAGTGTTCAATAACATGTTAAATTTGATGTAAGCCCCATTAAGCAATTATAAATTGCGGAAAAACGTTTGCATTTGATCAAATGAGTTGTACACAAATTATTTATCAAGATCTAAAAGTTAGCAATGTCTTGTTAGATGTACGGAGATATGAAACAAGAAATATCGGACTTTGATATGACCTTAATTCTGTTATTCTTAGTTTAAACAACATATTTTCACAAATTAACACTTTCTCTTTGACAGTGATCATGTTTCTTGTAAATATTCTAGAATAGGATTTATAACAGATAAGACTAATTCTCTAATTCTACAAAATATAATGTTATTAGTTTTGGGGTTCTACTTTTATGTATCATCATTTGTGGTAAAAGGATTTCCCTTTTATATAACTCCGAAACAAAAGAAATATAGAAGATAGTTGAAAGGTTATTTAGTGAGCACTCTATCAATTAATTAATGATGTGACAAATAAGGTGCGGTAGTTAGATGAAATGTAAATCCTTTTTTTGTATTTGTCTTTAGCTCAAGATTTTATTATTCATTGTTGCAAATGCGTTTTCACATGGTCTTAAAACAAGTCAATAAAAGTCAAGTTAATGTCTTTTTGACTCAATGTCGGATAGAAATTTCATAATAGCTTCCCATGCGTTTACTCTTCTTTGCTTACCCCACCCACCCTACCAACACCCCTTTCAAGCAGCTGATTTATTTCGATTTCCGTTTTATATGGTCGGAATGGAATTCCGAGTCTTCTTGATATCTAGGTTGTTTTAATAATTCGTCCGAAGGATATATCGGCAAAATTATTTGCAATTGAACAAGCTCGGTGATTCCAGCAAATAATATGATAATTTCAGGCATATGAGGTGTGGAATACGAGTAAAGGCATGGAGTTGAAGGAAGAATCACTAAACGTAGACTATATAAATTTGTTGTATAAGTTATTAAATGCTTGCCAATTCCTTGTTATGTGTCCAGGAAAATTCAATTGATTGACCGTCCTTGTTGGATTTCTGACAAACTAAACTAGTTGAATTCCGTCCATGAAATGTGGGTTAAATTTAAGAGGTGTAGTTGTGCATTACCCTGATCATCAATTATCATCATGTTTCCTCTAAATTTTCAAATAATGTAAACTAAAAATCTGAAACAGAAAGCACATTACTTGGGCAATTTGTAGAAACAGAGCATAAACCAAAAATGTGCAAAAGCAGAGCATCAGTGGATGGCCCTAAAGCTCATTCCAAGAAATACGAACTACCACCTGCAAATAGATTGGAAACTCGATCTAGTTAATATTTAAGTGCGTCCTGAAGTACAATCAAATAAACTGAATGATCTAACTGACACAAACAGCTTGGTATTCTTTTTCATCATTTATAGACCCCATAGAAATAACTTATAAAAAATATATATTTCTTCAAATAAAACATCATTCTTGATACTGTGAAACAAAAGAAGCTATCCGTCACTACACTGCTATCTGTTGCCGGTAAATATCCAACTTTTTCTTCAATGGTAAGCAATTCTTCTCACAGAAAACCCTTCCACAACAACCAAGTCAAGGCGAAGGTCTTTATCATTAATGTTTTGCAAACGTTTTTTTACAACAACCAAGTCAAAGTCTTTATAAGGACAAAAAATTCATTATAACTTTCCATGCATGGTAATTAGCTAGTCCTATATGACCTGGCCTACGTAAAAAAATACCTTGACCTTCTATTTCTCTTTACAAAAAAATATATGTTTATGAATTATTATTTAAAGCTCTAAACATGTGTCGTTGAACGCATACCCAAATTAACCTTTAAGTTATACAATTCTGATCCTTCTGATTTCGGAGTTTATATATAATAGGTCTTAAGTTTTTTCATACACTGTAGACTTATTAAACAATGATATTAACAGGATTTTTGAGAATTAAACATCATTTTTTTCTCTTCTTTGTTAATCCCTCATACCCTAGAAAATGGGATGGTCTACTACCCCTTTCTAGCTGCGAGTTTCCAACATCTTTTTGACTTAGATTGGATTTCATATTGTGCAAACCATTGAAGTTTCTATCACGTAAAAAATAGTGTCCGCAAGAGATTTAAGAGAGCTTTCTTCATATGCGTATAAATGTAACATTGAAGAACTAATAGATAACAAGTACCTGGGCTCGATTTAAGTACACAATACCATAAACCCGGATGAGAGAAATCTATTATAGTTTCATGAACATAAGAGTATACAACACTATAAACCTGGTACATAAAACAGACCGGCTCAACCTAGTACTCAGAGTGGAAACAATCTCAATTTCTAAGACATTCTCCCCATGATGTTTAATAACCCTTACATCAAATACCTTATGTTCTCTCATGACCTTGAATTTTATAAATAGTATATATGATATTCTTTTCCTGATTGGATTCATATTTCAATTCCTAATAAAACTCCTAAATTATATTCTTTATTAAAAAGTTTTCTTAAAGACATATAATTTCATAACAAATAGGAAAGTGAGCCACAATATTGTAACAATATCGTAGAATTCTGACAAGCTAGACTGGATTAATTCCTTCACTGAATTGTGGGTTAAATTTATTAGGCGTAATTTTGTATTACCCTGTTCAACAATTAACATCATTGTTCCTCTAAATTTTCAACTAACATTAACTAAAAATCTGAAACAGAAAGAATATTACTTGGGCAATACGCAAAAGAAGAACATGAATCCAAAAAAGTGTTAAAGCAGAGCATCAATGGATGGCCTTAAAGCTCATTCCAAGAAATACGAACTACCACCTGCAAATAGATTGGAAACGCGATCTAGTTAATCTAAAGTCCTCCTGGAGTACAGTCAAATAAACTGAATGATCTAAATGACATAAACAGCTTGATCTTCTATTTCATCATTTATAAAACTCATTGAAATAACTTACCAAAAATATATATTTGTTCAAATAAAACATCATTCTAGATACTGTGAAACAAAAGAAGCCATCAGTCACTACACTGCTATCTGTTGCTGGTAAAAATTCAACCTTTTCTTCAATGGTACGCAATTCTTCTCACAGAAAGTCCTTTATTGATTCCTCAATAAATACAGCAAGACTTTTCAGTTTTCAAGGCTTAGACATTACCGTTTGTTATAGACCGATAACTTCTTTGGTACGATACTACCAGTTTGCTGGGAACAAATTTTAAACATTTGTTCTTTAGTAGGTCAAGGTCTTTATCATTAATGTTTTGCACGAAGGTGAAGGTCTTTATTAATAATGTTTTGCAAACCCGTTTTCGCATGGTCTACATGAACTTCACAACAACCAAGTCCAAGTCTTTATAAGGACAAAAAATTCATTATAATTTTCCATGCATGATCTGGCCTACATAAATAAATACGTTGACCTTCTATTTCTCTTAAAGGATATCGAAATTACCTATTAAAAAATGCATGATTTCTTTACAAAAAAATATATAATTATGAATTATTATTTGAAGTTCTAAACATGTGTCTTTGAACTCATACCTAAATTAACCTTTAAGTTATTCAATTCTGTTCCTTCTGATTTCGGAGTTTATATATAATCAGTCTATAAATTTTTCGTACACTGTAGACTTATTAAACAATGATATTAACAGGATTTTTGCGAATTAAACATCATTTTTTTCTCCTTTGTTTACCCCCCATACCCTAGAAAATGGGATGGTCTACTATCCCTTTCTAGCTGCGAGTTTCGCAACATCTTTTTGACTTAGATTGGATTTCACATTGTGCAAAGCATTGAAGTTTCTAAGAGAGCTTTCTTCATATGCGTATAAATGTAACACTGAAGAACTAATAGATAACAAGTACCTGGGCTAGCTTTAAGAAGCATATCAAATGATGCCCAAGATTATCATGATTGTTGTTTTCTATAGTTTCCTCTCTCTGCAAGTGCGCCATTCTATTGCAGAAACTAATTTGATCAGGGTTGGTTATTACTGGTATTCACCATACCAGTTCCCCGTTTCGGACATAAATTCTTCTCTCTTTACTCACATTATTTGTGCTTATATTGCTGTGAATCCGACCTCCTACCAGCTTTCTTTGTCACTAGCTGATGAAGAACACTTTTCCATCTTCACAAATACTGTGAAACAAAAGAATCCATCCGTCACTACACTGCTATCCATTGGGGGTAGAGATGCAAATTATTCAACATTATCTTCAATGGTAAGCAATTCTTCTCACAGAAAATCCTTCATCAATTCTTCAATAAAAATAGCCAGACTTTACGGTTTTCAAGGCCTAGACTTTGCTTGGCANTGACAATAAAAATCAACTTCAATATGCAGTATGAGTCTAGAGTTTTTCGCTATGCAGTAAACTTATTAAACCATAATAATAACAGGATTTCTCTAAATAAGTCAATTAAAAAAAATAAAAAGTTATCAACCAAGCATCCTTCTTTTCTCTTTTTGGCTTACCAGTTACCCCACACACCCCACCAAAAACCCTTTCCAGCAGTTTACTTTATCTTTTTGACTTGATTTGATTTCATATTTGTGCAAAGCATTGAAGTTTCTATCACGTAAAAAATAGTGTCTGCAAGAGATTTAACAGAGCTTTCTTCACGTGTATAAATGTAACACTGAAGAACTAATAGATAACAAGTAACTGGGCTAACTTTAAGAAGCATAGCAAATGATGCCCAAGACTATCATGATTGTTCTTTTCCATAGTTTCTTCTCTCTGCAAGTGCGCCACTCAATTGCAGAAACTAATTGGATCAGGGTTGGTTATCACTGGTATTCACCATACGAGTTCCTCGTTTCGGACATAAATTCTTCTCTCTTTACTCACATTATTTGTGCTTATGCAGTTGTGAATCCCACCTCCTACCAGCTTTCTTTGTCACCAGTTGATGAAGAACGCTTTTCCACCTTCACAAATACTGTGAAACAAAAGAATCCATCTGTCACGACACTGCTATCCATTGGGGGTAGAGATGCAAATTATTCAACCTTTTCTTCAATGGTGAGCAATTCTTTTCACAGAAAATCCTTCATCAATTCTTCAATAGAAATAGCCGGACTTTACGGTTTTCAAGGCCTAGACTTTTCTTGGCAATTTCCAAACACAAGCGTTGATATGTTCTATATGGGTGTTCTCTTTCAAGAGTGGAAAGCTGCTATTGGTTTAGAGGCAAAGAACTCCAACAAGTCTCAACTGATCTTGACGGCAAGGGTTAAATACTCACCATCGGTATCTTCAGCGAGTTACCCTATAGAGATGATGCAACAACATTTAAATTGGGTTCATGCTGTGTCTAGTGAGTACACCTCTCCTTATGTCAGCAACCTTACAGGTGCCCAGGCAGCTTTGTATCACCCAAGTACTTTTGATAATACGGATTATGGTATAACAGAATGGATCAACGGAGGATTATCAGCGAATAAATTGGTTTTGTGCTTGCCTTTCTATGGCTATGCATGGACGCTCAAGAACACTATAGACAATGGTATTGGTGCAGCAGCAACCGGACGTGCCTTTAATGGATTTGCAACCTATAAGCAAATCAAGAATTACATTGAGCAATATGGTCCTGATGTTCAAGTTAGGTACAACTCAACTTATGTGGTGAATTACTGGACAAAGGGAACAACTTGGATCGGCTTTGATGATGTTGAGGCTATTAGAGCTAAGGTTTCTTATGCAAAGGAGAAGAAACTACTTGGCTACTTCGTGTGGCAAGTCTCCTACGATGTGAATTGGGTGCTTTCCAAAACAGCAGGTAAGCTATTATTAAGCTAAACAAAGTACTGTATGCAATCTACTCTTGAATGAAGATCTTTTATAACATATTGGTTATTTTTCCAGCTGGAGTGGATATAAATAATTCTTCAGTTGAGGAGGATAATAAAAATGGACAAAATAATAAGAGTCCTTTGTTAGTAATCTTCTTGTCTACAACAGCTGCTGTTGCTCTTCTATTAGGAATATTTGTGATATTTTACTGCTGGAGGAGAAATCTCAAATTAAAAGGTAAGTTGCTCAATTTTTTTTTTTGCAATGAATGAATAAGTAAAGCAGTTTAATGGCTTTTAATATTTTATTTTTCCCTCTCTCTTGGTTACTGGGATAGTGGACTCCACTAAAGAATCCAAAGATAAAGCAAATAAAGCAGCATCTGCTGGAGATTTTAGTAGCAACATTCCTAATCTGATAGAGTATTCATTAGCTGATATAGAGGCAGCAACAAATGGATTTTCAATTGAAAATAAGCTTGGACAGGGCGGATATGGCCCTGTTTATAAGGTACCTTTAATAAAGCTATATATTTATCATTTTTTTGGAACAACTTTAAAAACTTGTCTTTAGCTTAATATTTCTGGCATGCTATAGTTTTATTTGAATTTCAAGACATAAAATGTATAAGGTACTAACCAACTAAAGTGTGTTAACTTACTAGGGAATACTACATGATGGACAAGTAATAGCAGTGAAGAAACTTTCAAAAACATCCACACAAGGATTTGAGGAATTCAAGAATGAGGTTATGCTTACAGCCAAGCTCCAACATGTAAATCTTGTTCGAGTTTTGGGTTTTTGCATTGACAAAGAAGAACAAATACTCATCTACGAATACATGCAAAACAAAAGCTTAGACTCCTATCTTTTCGGTCAGAATTTTACGTAGAATTTTTGCAAATAACGTTTCAATATTTTTTCCTCCTTTGGGATTAAGCCTGGAGTAGTTACAGTCTTGATGGTTAACTTATGATTAATTTTGATGCAGACCCCATCAGACGATTTGTTTTGGATTGGAAAAAACGTGTGCATATCATTAAAGGAGTTACACAAGCGCTTTTATATCTCCAAGAATACTCAAGATTGACTATTATTCATCGAGATTTAAAGGCTAGTAATGTCTTGTTAGATGGAGATATGAAGCCAAAAATATCAGACTTTGGTATGGCAAGAATATTTGCTAAAGATGATCTTGAAGCAAACACAAGCCATATTGTAGGAACAATGTAAGTTTCTATACTTCTAATGCTATATAATTGTCTCAAGATTTCGCTTGTCTTATACATTACTTTGTTATTGTTTTGTGATAATCCAATACAGTGGTTATATTCCTCCTGAGTATGCTAGAAGAGGCATATACTCTACCAAATCCGATGTTTATAGTTTTGGGGTTCTACTTTTACAAATCATAAGTGGCAAAATGATTTCCCTTTTATATGGTCCGAATGAATGTTTAAGCCTTCTGGACTACGTAAGTTAATTTCTTTAAATGCTACTATTGGTTCCAAGATCTGTGTATCAAAATGTAATTAGCAATAGAATAAATAATTTGATAATTTCAGGCTTATGAGCTGTGGAAGGATGGTAAAGGCATGGAGTTTATGGATGAATCACTAGATGATACATATTCATCTTGTAAATTAATGAGATGCTCACAAATAGCTCTATTATGTGTCCAAGAAAATCCAATTGATCGACTGTCCATGTTGGAAGTTTTCACGTTGCTCGAAAATGTGAACACTGATATGATGATTCCAAAGAAGCCTGCTTTCTCGAAACAGATTGAACAGAATAAAAATACAAGACAGTTGGAAGGTTATTCAGGGAGTACTTCATCAATAAATGATGTAACAATTTCAGATTTTGTAGCCAGATGAATTATATACTATAGCTTTTGAGGTTGGTAATTGATATTGTGTGTCTTGGAATTTTAGCAAAGTAAACAGGGTTAATCCCTTTGCCGCGGTGTGGGTTAGATTTATTAGGTGTAGTTTTGTATTACCCTGTTCATCAAGAATATTTGAGACTTTTCTATGTTTAGTTGGTATAAAACTTACGAATAATAAAAGAAGTTACAAAAGATTTTTTATAGAAAATAAATTAATGATAAAATTAGTCATCCTACTGACAAGCCATCATGGAAACCAAGTAAGTTCATGGCATGCATCAAAATGTATAAATCTTTTATTAGTTAATTCAGCTAAGTAAGTTATATTTTATATATTTTTATTTTTATTTTGCCATCTAAGGATATGCATGCAGTATATTGAACACTTGGGAACCAGTGCACACTTGTAAATATATATATTTTTTTCTAATCAACTTCATGATATAACTTTATGGTACAACATACACGTATATAACAAATTACCTGCTTAGTGCTTACGAAAATTCAGAAACTTTGTTATTTTTGCTTTGCTTTTTACACTTTTAAAACTTCTCCTTAAGTATGTCTTTAATTATCATTAATGTTTTGCACGAAGGTCAAGGTTTCATATTTGTTTACTTGCCACTAACTTTAATATATATATATATATATATTTTTTTTTTTTTTTTTCTTTGCCACTAACTATTTTATATTTGTTTCGCTTGTCCACTTTAAGATAAATCCTTAACTAACTGATCAAGGTTTTATGATAACTTCCCATGCATGTAGAATACAAAGGCCTTGACGTTCTATTTCATTATTTAAGGAATTTATAGAAATAACTTATTAAAAATGCATTTATGACTAATTATTTAAAGTTCTAAATATTTGCCTTTTAATTACCCAAGTTAACCAATAAGTCATCCTTCTCATTTTGGGATTTTATGTTAATAAAAATTAAAATACAGATGTGATTGGCAGTTGACAGTAAGTTCTTTAATTCCTTACGAAAATATTCTTTAATTTGTTGCATCATTTAAGTATATAACAGCTTTATTTTTTATTTTTTATTTTTGATTGTGACCTATGTTTTGGTTTGATAAAATTGGAAATGAGATATCCCGATAGGCTTATGTGATCATTTTAGAATTTGTCTAATATACTTCATTATAATAATTTGGGTAGACAACTAGTGTGGGTTTAGATCTTCAATGAGAAGACCCAATCAACCACTATTAAAATTGACCAAATCTCCTTTCCAAACGCATCAGAGCAATTTAACTTATTGTTAGTTGTTATTCAATGCACGTTATTCAAAAGAAAGATCTACGCTTTTTGTTGCTTCTGGAAAACCTGTCACTTCTTCTATAAAGAATTCAAGAATACAAAATTATGATACAAACATGTTTGTCTATAATCTTAAATAATTGATTATGTATTCTATAATCTATTTGTTGATATTTTAGTATATTGTTGTTTATGACTAAATTCTATTCTTATTGTTTGGTTGAATGTTAATAGAATTCACGTATAATTTTCATACATATAGTAGCAAGTGTGTTTTCACAAGTCTAACTCTCTTTTTCAAATGCGTTTTCACGTGGTCTTAAAAGTTAAAACAAGTCAATAAAAACCAAGTCAATGTCGGATAGAAATTTCATAATAACTTCCCATGCATGTATAATTTATCTTAATTTAATAATTAGTCTTAGGTTATCTATCTAGACCTTCTATTTCTTCATTTAAAGAATCATAGAAATAACTTATTATTTCAAAAAAAATATATATTAATGACTTATTATTTGAAGTTCTAAACAATATTAACCTTTTAATTCCGCCTATAATTTATAAGCACTGTGAAAATGATTATACAAAAAAACCTATGTATTCAAATTAATCTGAAACGAAAAAAGGAATATAATAATGTGACAATAAAAATCAATTTCAATATACAGTATGAGTCTAAAGTTTTTCGCTATGCAGTAAACTTATTAAACCATAATAATAACAGGATTTCTCTAAACCAGTCAATTCAAGTAAATAAAAAGTTATCAACCAAACATCCTTCTTTTCTCTTTTTGGCTTACCAGTTACCCCACACACCCCACCAAAATCCCTTTCCAGCAGGGAGTTTACATTATCTTTTTGACTTGATTTGATTTCATGTTGTGCGAAGGTATGAAGTTTCGGTCATGTATAGAGAATAGTGTGAAGTAATTAAACAGAGCTTTTTCCATTTTAATTGCATTATTATATTTAGGTTTAAGCCATGTTAATTGTATTATTATATTTAGGCTTAAGCCATGTTAATTGTATTATTATATTTGTTAGGGACTGATTAAACCACTTTGGTTTTGGATTGCCCATTTTAAAGTGCAGCAGAATATTTACCAAGCAGATTAAGACATTCTTAGTTTTTAGCCACATCAAATATAAGTGTAGAAAGTAAAAAACACAGTCATATACATGGTTCGGCTAAATCCACTTTTAGTCTATATCCATAGGACCTTGTCTAGATCGAAGCAATCTACTAAGTTAAAAACACATTACAAGATATAGTTCAAAGCTTATCTAAGTTACAATAAAAATAACTCCTTGTTCAACTTTACACTTAGCACCACACTCTGAATCCTTTACGTGTAGCAACTCCTTGGAGCTTCCTCTCAATGGGAACACACCTGACAACAGCTTGTAAACCACCAAGCTTCAAGCACCAACGCCACACACCATCATCAGCAAAGGAACCACATTCCAAGAGCCATCAAGTCTTTGTTTGATATGGTGAAGTTTTGGCACAAAATGGAAAATGAACCCTAAACCTTAAGAGAAAGAATACTATAAGAAATTCAAAGTAAGATGAAATAAAAGATCAAAATGTTAGATTAATTTACGCAAGAAAGAGAATTATATAATGAATGATTTCTTGCTCAACAAAATAGTGTCATGTCAGCCAACAAGGAGCTGACCCATTTTTGTTCAATAAGGAAAGTATTCCTTCTTTTGGTTTAGACCACAAAACAAATTGAGAAAGATAACTTTATTCCCTAGGACCACTTAAGGAAAATATGAGACATGTAAAAAGGTCTTAAATATCAAGAGACAAAGATAAACACAATCTTTTTCTCTTTAACAGATATGCAACTCGTGTCAGGTTGCAAAGAGTTTGAAGCAAGAGTGTAAGCATAGATCGTTGTGCACACACACTTGAGACGAAACAAGCCAAAACACATGTCTGACAAATAGTGTTCACTAAGAATTGATGTGCACACACACAACAGATGAGACAAACCAAATAAAAGGATTGACAGCTAGTGTGCACACATAACTGTTGTGCACACACACAATTCATAAGTTCGACAAAAATAAATATTCTACAATAGTTGCACTTAATTCCACTCTAGGATTGCTTTGAGTACAGAAAGACTAAGCTAGATAGAGGATGTCCATGAGTGGAGCTAATAAATGATCATAACTAAGACAAATTATCGAACTTAAAATCAAATATAATTTGAGGAAGCTCACCAAGGAATGTGAAACCAAGACATTGAGCACTTGAGTATTTTTCTTTGCTAATTGATAACAGAGCATTAAATTCTTAGCATCAGTAAAATGAGTAGCAATTCTGCATATTAAGAAACAAAAAGCACCCATTCAAACAGTTGTATAATTTGATTTTTGATTGGAACATAAAGATGTAAAGAAGCATAACTAACCAATTTTATTTGTTGAGCAGGTACACCATTAGAGTCATTTCTAGTAAATTCTCAGCATAGTTAACCTTAGTAGCAAATCAATTCTGAATATAAGAAACACAAAATAACTAGTCAAAGACTTTTATACTACCCTTTTTGGTTGAATATAGACAAAGAAAAAAAGAATAAAGAGAAGTTGTCAAGCATGACTAACCAATTAGATCTTCAAGGTGATAAAGTGGGTTTGGGTAGAACTCAAGCCCAAAAGTTAGCTCAAGGGAGAAGGAAACCAACCACTTATATGCATCATAAGGCGAGGTGAGACAAATTCAACTTCTAACACCCTCCTTCACACTTGGCGCGTCCAAACCCGTCATTTGTCCCAACCAAGTGGGCTTGGGTATAACTCACTCCCAAAAGCTAGCTAAGGGATAAAGGAGTGCAACTACTTATGTACACTATAACAACCCACTATTGGGGCGATGTGGGACAAATTCAACTTCTAACACAAGATTCATAGACAATTTTGTTCCTTTCTAGAAACTTGCTGTGATCATTCTCCTTTTCTAAGCAACATCCTTCAGTATATGTGATTTCTTCTTCCTCCTTTTGTTGGTTGCCTATTCTCACCTTTCCTCTATTGTAATGAAAGAAACTGCATTAAAACAAGAAATGTCTTTTTTGGGGCTGGAATTTGAAGCTTTGAATATAAAATCCTGATATATAAGTACATCGAACAATATTAATTAAAGCTTATACTCTTAGCTTTCTAATCTAAATTTTATGTACAATTTAATTTTATACATTCATTGCAGTTTTATCCTTTTTTAGTTCCACCATAATGTAAGTTTGCGGTGCACAATTAAATTTTAATCAAACCTCATTAGACACTAAATATATATTTGATTGGATATAACTATTGAGTTCAAATTATTAAACGGGTTACTAAAGGATTTCTATAACCTTTTTATATTTGTTTTGTGTCCTAGAACTCTTGCAAAAGCTAGACACGATTAGTCCCTTTTAGTTGCCGTGTGTTTATTATCATGTCTTGTTTTCTCATCCAGTGTTATTGCGAAAACTTTGTTAAACATGGAATGTGTATAATAAACACACGACAACTAAAAGAATGTGTTTCAAGAATGTGTTTATACCATTCTTGTGGTGCCCCAAAGATATTTGTAATTGTGGGAAACTTATATTTGTCAAACTTATGAGTTGTGTGTATGCACATAAGTTCTACGTGCACACTGATTGCCAGACTTGAGTCTTGGCTTGTTTTGTTTAGAGTGTGTGTACAAAACAGTTTGGGATTTCACTTTCCCTTCAGATATTTACAACCCAACACAAGTTGCATGTCTGATAGAGTGAAAAAGATATTGTTTATCTTTGTCTCTCACTTTTTAGGACCTTTTTACATGTTTCATAACATTTCTTAAGTGGTCCTAGGGAATTCTTTTCCCCATTTTTTTTGTGGTCCAAACCAAAAAAAGGAATACTTTCCTTA